TTGTGTTTGCGATAAGGAAAAACACTAAACGCATGCGGGCATTTCTTCTTAATTCTTTTTACTGAACTAGTCTGCAGTAATGAAAACAGGACACTTATTAGAAACAGATGGCCAACCAAAAAGTAACTCAGGGTTATAAAAAGAGTGGCCAACACAAAATACATACATTCCTGATATGCGAGTCCCATCTTACACTCAATACAGTACAATTGTATGGTATAAATACACTACTACAATGTACAAAAGAGAGAGATTGACTTAGAATGCCAGTTTAATAAGGATTTGATCAGCTGTAGTTAGATATTACGCTGTTTTTATTCTCTAAGGGCTTATTATGCATCTGTGTATTATGTGACACTTAGTAGTATGTGAAGTATGTGTTGCTATTGTGAGGTTGAACAATATCAATGGTCTTTGCTCTGCTCAAAGACAGGCTATTGGTGTGACGCACTGTCTCTCAGAAATCATAAATATTTAAAATAGGCAGTATTCTTATAAATAAACTGCATAGATGCAATCTAAACAACTACATTCTCAACTAAAAAGCCTCAAAAGTACATTATGTTGCCCAACAGCAGCAATATTTGTCAAACTGTAGAGTATCCTCTGCTTGTCGCTGTATGTGGGTGGACTAACGGAGTAATACACAAGGGTGAAGGGTGAAAAGGCTGTACGAGTGCTGTTATTTGCTGAATATCATACGGCTATCAGCCAGTCAGATTCAAGAACCTGTTGTATGCAGCTTTATTTTAATTATTGAAAACTATTTTTAGTAGTTTTAATTATTCAGCTTAGTTAATTAGTAATTGATAATATGCATACAATAACTACACTGTAAAAAATGCAGGGTTCCACACAATTCAATCATGTTGTCCCAACACAAATTGATTAAGTTAACTTAACACTTTTAACGAATTTATGTTGATTGAACATAAAAAAATGAAGTTGTCCCAATGGAATATCAAGAATTGTGTTGTTCCAGCTCAGTTTAAATAAGTAGCTTTAACGAGTTAATAAAATAATATATTTTTGAGTGTAATGGACAAACAATACTGAAAATGTGTGACTCATAATCCACTTAGTACTGCATTAGCTACTACAAAAGTCTCATTACTAAATTAAGGAAGTGTGAGTGAGGAAATGTGCGATTATGTAATAATTCCTAATGTACATGCATTAGTAAATAATAGCAACCAACAGTTTAAAGTTTTGTATTTCAAACTTCTACTTGTATCTTTATTAATTAACCACCATCTAATGCTTTACAAACATGATTATGTTATGTCTTAAACATAAGGTTGGGTTTCAGCATTGTAGTTTAAACTACACACTCAAAATAAATTACATTTTTTTCGCTATTTATTCAAACTAATTGTTTAAAATCAACTAAAACAACACAATTCTTTATTTTTTTAATGGGACAACTTAATCTTTATGTTCAATGCACTTAAATTTGCAAGAACAAATAACTTAACTAAATTTCTTCATGTTCTCCTGACACAAATTGACTGTGTGAAACTCAACATTCTTTACAATGCATAAACTTTACTCGTCTAAAAAGCAGCTACATTTTATAAGACACAAAAACTTAATATAAAGAGGCCAAGTGCATTTGATAAAATCTACATTGCATCAGCAAATCTTGAATGCATATGTTGTATTAGTATTTGGCATACTGACAATATTAGGCCCACTGTACAGTACAATAATGGAAATGTGACAGTCGTCATGAATGGAAAGCGTATTGTGTGAATTTAAAGTGGTGTCATCCTGTGGCAATTCCTTTTTTTGGGTATTCTCTCAGCACTTGGCACAGGAGTGTAAGGAGAAAGCTGGAAAGACCCCCACAAATTTAGGAGAGTGGTTTCCCTCAGTAAGCATTCTGGCAGGAGCAGGCGAGAGGGAGCGATGAAGACACCGCCAGCACTTTTCGCTCTGAAATCATAGGGAGACTGAATGGGCTGCAGTGGATGACTATAGAGCAGCAGTCACCGAAGCGTCCGTTTAGCTTTAGTCATCGTATTTTGAGCTGCTTTGTAGTTGTGTACCCCATGTTGTACACTGAAAGGCGTCGATGCGTGCTAAAGCTGAAGCTGTCATGCGGAGCTCAATACGCTCTGTGTCCCAGGTAGTGGCTACACCGGAGAAATGGATTACATGGGTAGAATGGCAATTACCATGACAAAGAAAATCCTAAAATAGGGGGAGCTTAATGTATACATTCAGTGTGCAACTTATACAGTGACATTAATGCTTTGAGAGCTTCATGTATGCAAGACCTTTTGTGTACAATTTTGCTTTGTTTTGTTGTAATGCAGATTATGACCTCGAACCTTTATACAGGTTATTAACATTAAAGGATAGTTCAAACTTTACTCATCATTTCTGTTGAGCACAATAAAAGAGATTTTGAAGAATGTTAAAATTGACATCTATTGGAAAAAGTCAATGGACGTCTACCTTCTAATATTTTTCTAAATATCCTCTGTTCAACAGAAAAAAGACCAATTATAAAAATATGGAGGGTGAGTAAATGGAGGTAGACTTTAATTTTGGATGACCTATTGTAAGAATGAATTTTAACCACAGCGGTTCAAACTGTAGTTCTGCCGAGTGACTAAAAAGTTATCAGCATGATGGTAAAAAACTGTACATTTCTAGTCAAACCATTCTTCATCGATATTATGTGATTATATTGTACTGCAATATGGACCAATTAAGTGTTGATGTTAAATCAAAAGTAATTCACAAATACTTAAAAAAATTAGATGATTTAATGACATTGATTCTCTATGGCTACAACTGAATTAATAACAAAATAACTGTATAAAATGATAAAATATGAAATGATAAAACATGTGATATAAATTGTACCCAGCTTAAATGTAAAATTAAAGTTACCAGAGGTAGAAGGAGAGACACGGGGAGGAAGAGAGGAACAAAGAGAGCAGGCCCAGACGTTAGCCTGATTGTAGAGGAGTCAGAGACGATAGACTCCAGAGAAGGAGAGGAGCAAAGCAGAAAAGCGCAGAGACAGAAAAGAGAGGCCAGGAAAAGAGCCAGAAAAGAGATTCCTAGCTATTTTGTACCTTTCTTGACCATGTGACTAAAACCCAAATGCTGAGACATTCAAACTGACCAATAAACATGTGACCACATCGTAAAACCCCCAAATTCCACACCTCAGGCCCTGATCTAATCAGTATGTGCCTTTGGAATTTGTGTGAGCCTTCTTTGGTTAAAAATACATAGAAACAGATGCATATAATTAAGACTCTTACAATATGCCTTTAAATGCCTCATCTAAATCTATAACAACAATTACTGAAAAAAATACTGTGGTTTTGGGATTTAGTACTGATTATAATGGAAAGCATATCTAACTACATCCAACTGTAAAGATAACTGCAACTATATTAAAGGGCACCTATGACAAAAATCAACTTTTGGAAGCTGTTTGGACAGAACAATGTGTATGTATAGTGTGCCCACTGTCATATCAGAGTGATATAAACCCAGCAAGTCTCTTTTTTAAATTTCCTGACTTTAAAATAGGACCCAAATCCCAGTGATTTTGACGCTCACCACGATGTAATGTAGGAATGCGGTTTCCCCGGCCATCGAATTGATTAACAGCAGCCATGTCTTCATAATATATACAAGTATACACATGTCCACAGAACATTTTTTGCAAAGAAACTGGGATTATAGCATATATTACAACTCTCTGATCAGCTTCAACCCAATAATTAATTTTATAAGTTGATTTTTTTTTAAACAGAACATCTTTGTATTCTTTCTGTAGTTGAACCAGACCAAATAAATCATTCATTCATTAATTTTCTTGTCGGCTTAGTCCCTTTATTAATTCGGGGTCGCCACAGCAGAATGAATCGCCAGCTTATCCAGCACATTTTAACGCAGCAGATGCCTTTCCAGCCGCAACCCGTTTCTGGGAAACATCCACAAACACCCATTCACACACACACTCATACACTACGGACAATTTAGCCTACCCAATTCACCTTTACCGCATGTCTTTGGACTGTAAGAGAAACCGGAGCACCCGGAGGAAACCCACATGAACGCAGGGAAAACATGTAAACTCCACACAGAAACGTCAACTGGTCGAACCAGCGACCTTCTACCTACTGCGCAACTGTTTCGCCTTTTCCAAACAAATCAAAATAGCTAAAATACAAAACATATGTTTAAAACATATTAGGTACTCTAAAAATGCTGGGTTATTTCAGCCCAAATGTGCATAAAATATGGGAAAATGCAACAGTTTGCTTTTTTGTTTTAATTCATAATCCCACTTTAACCCAATTGTTAGCACATTTAACCTAAATTTAGGTTGAGATAACGCAGTATATTTTACAGTGTATAAAAGTGCATTCACCATTTTATTTAGTTCTAGTCTAAAATACACACTCAAGTAACTCTAAGTCTTTTGTGGTTAGCTTCTGAAGTGCGGTACGAAAAAGCTGATGAAACATTTCAGGCTTGTACAGTAACTACACCTCCCTCAACCTTTGTTTTTTTTTTTGGGTCAAGCCTCAGTTTGAGAGTTATTATTTAGACCCCCTAACGGGTTGAGTACGTCCCACTCCTATTCTTCTCTTCAGCTGTTTTTTTTCTGTTCACAAGATCCTCAAAGTCTTTATTTGGGTGTAAATTCGCATCCAGCCCACTGCTGGTACTTGTACAGCAAAGTCACGTGACACCTGTTACCTTTCTCAGCGCTGGTAAAGCAGTCCAATCACTGTCATTTCTGATGATATTATTCAGTATTTTATACGGCCTTTGTACAACGATTACAATAACTAAATTCAATGTAAATTCCACATACGAATCGTTTGAGTTAATAAATGTCATTAATAAGACTTTATGGTTTAAAAATACTCTTTAAAACACACTAATATTTGAATGTGACTGAACGAAGGACTTGTATTTTTTGAACCACCGATCGCCCCCTAGAGGAGATGTGTATTACGTCCCTTCGGTAATAGTGTCAATGCCGTCCAATGGGCTCACGCAGTCCTCTCATGTCGACTTTCTGCGGCAAGTACAGAGTTTAGAACCAGGGCTGTTCTGGACTGATGCGGGAATAAAGACTGCAACCAGTCGTGAATGTTAAACACACAGACGCCGACTAATAAGTTTCAAAAATCTTGCGAGTAAATGGGATTCAACGTCTTCCGGACAGAATGTAAAGAATTCCTTGAAGGATGTGGGGAATTAAAGGCTCGTTCGCTGTGCTGTTATTGCTGTTTTTGGCTTATATCTTCGCGTCCTCGGTTAACGCCGGTAAGTTTGCATGATTGTGTTCGTTTAGTCAGTAATGTCATTGTTATTTGTGGTCATTTTGGGGCTTTTGCGCACGAAATGGAAAGACGCGAACCCCTGTTACACTATTTTAGGTTAATGAACAGAATGACAGCGGTTTTTTCACATTACTATGAACAAAATTCATAGTGAAATTGCGTTCTGGTGTGTTCGTAATGGTAGGGAACAGACAGGTTGCGGGTATGAGATGAATAAATGATGCGCTACTACCTGTTCAGCCCTCCATTGGGAAGCACAAGACGCTCGTGGGTTTTCCACCGTTCATTCACACGGCATGTAAATGCTGTGAACAATTCGTGTGATCCTAATTGATCCTGTTCACAGAGACTGGTGAAATCTGCTCGCCAGACAGAGATGACACTTTGAATGCACGACAGATCAGATTGTGGAGCTTTGGGATTTAGGGAATTCGTCTGGGTGCAGACACATATCATTGGCTACTTCGTTTTTTAATGATTTGATAACTAGTAGATTACAGCTAAATAACTACAGCAGAATAATCATTAGCTGTCAGAGTCACAGATTCATCCCCCTCAATCGTATTTGCGTTTGTCTTTCAGTAGTCTTTCAAAGCAGCAGCCTTGCATTTTGTTCAAATTCATTGTTTTAGTGCGTCTAATACAACAAGAACATTTTATTATATTATTTTACATGTATTATTATTATTATTAATAATAATAATAATATGTAAAATGTATGAAATAATAGCTGGTTTCACTGATGCAAAAAAGTAAAATAGGATATTTATGAGATAAGATATATCAGTATAAATGCCATACTTCAGAACAAAGCTTGAAAATAAATTAAAGTAATAGTTTAATGTAAATAATGCTTGTAATTATTCAATGTAATTCAGCTTTCAAAAGAAGACACTGAAAGCACAAAAAGCATTTTTAAATATAAATGTAAATATTTATAACGACAAAATAGATGTAAGTTCTCGGCTATTTGATCTACATACAGTGCTCAGCATAAGTACACCCCTCACAAATTTGTCTTTTATTTATTCATTCATTTTGTTTTCGGCTTAGTCCCTTTATTAATCTGGGGTCACTAAAGCGGAATGAACCTCTAACTTATCCAGTTTTACGCAGCAAACGCCCTTCCAGCTGCAACCCATCACTGGGAAACATCCATATACACTCATTCACACTCATACACTACGGACAATTCAGCTTACCCAATTCACCTGTACCGCATGTTTTTGGACTTGTGGGGGAAACCGGACCACCCTGAGGAAACCCATGCGAACATGGGGAGAACATGCAAACTCCACATAGAAATGCCAACTGACTCAGCTGGGGCTCAAACCAGTGACCTTCTTGCTGTGAGGCGATTGTGCTACCCACTGCAACACCATGCTGCCCAATCTATCGTTTAAAGCTCTACAATATTATATTTGTGCATTTACATTAGATTAGTCAGTACTGAAGCCAAATCTGGAGCTTATCTAACTAAATAACTTACGCTAACTGTCCAAAAACTAGTACATCCAAATGGATATGTTAAAACAAATAAAAAGAAAAAAGAAAACAATTTAGTTGAAATTTTGTAGGTCATAATTTTTTTTTTTTTTGCAATATTTTGCTTGAATTTAATTGTAATATCTTTAATTTCTAAATATAATTGGTGACTAAATATATATGTCCTATATATATATATATATATATATATATATATATATATATATATATATATATACACACACACACATAAACAATGCTTTTACATTGTGTACATATAAACAAAGACAAAAAATGACAACATCAATACTGTCAACATCGACACAAGCAAAACCTGACAGCATCAGCATCATTTTGTCCACATACAATTAAATTTTGCTTTGGAAGTAATTTATAAAGGGACGCCACATGGCAGTAAACTTGAACCCAGAATCATTTAAATTAAGTCTTATTTTTTCCCAACTAAGGAATTGCAACACATCATTAGCCCACTGTTTAAAACAAGGGGGAATGATTATTTCCAGTTTCAAATCAAGCATCTTGCCAAAGGAGAAGTAAATGCAATGCTGTCCAATTCCCTTTTTGACAAATTGTTTTTCATTTACAATACCAAAGTCAGCAGTAAAATATTATTTTAATAATATAAAAATACTATAAAAATAGTTTACTCAATTATGCTGAGCACTTGCATGCATGTTTTAAATGTAGTTTTTTGGCATAAAATTAGTGAATCATCTGATATATATATATATATATATATATATATATATATATATATATATATTGTTACGTGCCGTTCATTCAACAAAATGAAAGGGAACCCAAACCAAGTGAAAAATGATAAAATAAAATAATGTGCAAAAAGGGTTATCAAAGTACACAAATTAATTGTCTAACATAACAATATGTAATACAACAAATTATATAGGAGCAAAGTTCAAATAAACAAAAAAAAAAAGCGGTGGGTAAGGCAAAGGAAGTCAAACGAAAAAACGGTCCTCCAAAGCTGTCTCTGGAACACAGTTTGGAAGCTCCTTTTATAAAGCCTGAAAATTAGCCGCTGCATCATAACGAGTCACCTGTTTAGAAACAGAAAGCAAAACCCAGGAAACAGAACGAACCAATCACAAACCCATAACAATATATATATATATATATATATATATATATATATATATATATATATATATATATATATATATATATATATATAATTTAATTTTTTTTATAGAACATCTATGAACCTATAAATATGAACCTCTATTGTGTTCATTGTTGATGGCACTGAATTGAATGCTGCATTGCATTGCATGTTGTTGAGTTGAGTTTTGGATTTTTAGACTGCAAGTTGCAATTTTACATAAAAACTATTGTTCTGCCTAATTCTGATGGGTTAAACATAACTAAAAAATAATCATCAGCAGCTTTTAAACAATCAAATTCTAATAAGAAACCTACAAGAATATACAGGTTAAGTGTGACTACATATTATTACAATTGTTTTATTGAAGGAGGTCTACCTACCTTTTTTTGATTATACACTTCTATTCTAACAGTACTGTATAAGCATACAAAAAAGCCTCTTTAAAAGTCATAAAAGTTCCTGTGAAATGATACGGCTGTTCCATATATCTGGTCATGGAATATGCTGAAATACGACCACAACGTGATTACGCTGTAGTGGCTCTTCTGATGTGTAACATTATGTACAGATTAACTGTAACAGACATCCACGCTCTAACAGACACTAATAAAGCACACCGATCCGCTGCTTTTTCTCTTTTATGTGGCAACAAAGCCTCTGTCCATACGTCTTTATTCCGAGGCGCTGGCAGCGATGCAGGACGGAGGAATATTAATGAAGAGAGCAAGTGACATTTCCACACCATTATGAAAAGAACAGAGTTTCAAACACCCCGTCGAATACAGAGGAAGCCGGTGAAACGAACGTGTCAGAGAAGAATGGATCAAGTTTGGAGGCTTGGGTTTTATTACAGGCCCGTTGTGTTCTGTTATGACGTCTGTGATGAAAAGCAAGAGGTGCAGCGTGGAGTTTCAGGCTCTGGGCTCTCGCATGTTTGTTTCATCTGACAGTGTCAGGCGTCGCATCAAAGCTACCGAGGACATTGTGAATATTTTATGAGTCTGATGTTGTTTATTGGGGCCAATCGCCTGTGTATGTCGCCTTTTCGAGCAAATCTGTCAGTCTGACAAATTAGCAATAGAGATGTTAGTCAATTAGAGATGTTAATTGCATGAAATGAATGGGTTGATCACAGTAATTAATATTTAAGTTACAAAGCTCTCAAATAAAGGCTGCCAACAACCAAATAGACTTTTTAGAGGTTTCTTTTGGGGATACAGTTTTAAAATGTAAGGTTCTTATTATTTATTGACATTGGTGGTTCTAGGTTCTTGGTGAAATTGGGGTTCATTAAAGAAAAATAATTTATTCATTGTCTTTTTGGCTTAGTCCCTTTATTAATCCGGGGTCGCCACAGCGGAATAAACCGTCAACCACCGTCATTGGATAAACAAAAAATGTCTCTTTTTTTTGTTTTTTTTTAATCTTTATTTTGGAAGAGTTTAATTCACCCCCCCCCCCCCCCCCCCCAAAAAAAACAAAAACAAAAAAAATGTATCCAACATGTAGGGGACTTTTCTAGAATAATATACATTACATAGCATGTTTCATACTTTAACAACACTATTCATTGCAATCAACATCTTCTGCATTACATTGCACACTTACTCCAGGATTTTGTGAGTTTAATGGTTCCTGAGATAAAAAGGGGACATTTTTACAAGAGTTTTGCGTATTTTAACAGCTAAGTACAATCATTTAAGCAAATATTACCATACATTTTGAGAAAAGCAGTCATTTTTGGCTGCAGATATATTAAAAGTTTTCTTGCAAAATACTGAAGGAACTTTATCATACAATTATAAATTTGCTAAATGAAAATAAATGATATATTCTGCTTATATGCTGTTTTATCTGCATGTCATGAAGTTTTAAATCTCAGGGCCGTGCACATCAAGTAAATATTTAAGATGAAAATGGTTTGGCTGACAAAAAAGAAAAGAAAAATAATATATTTGATCAAAGACACATTAAAACTGTAATATTCAGAAATATTGCTACAACTTAAAACCATATATCATAGCATATTCAAAAATGTCAAATATTCCTGTGGGTGGAAAGCTAAAGTTCCAGGAGACAGAACTGCAGGAGAAGAAAAAAGTTCTTCTAATTAATGTTAAAAAATCTATATTATAAATAAGAAGCATTCGAGAAACATTTGAGACTTGATCATTTTGTGTAAACTATGTTTTAATGTCATTTTTCATTCATTCATTACTTTTCCTTCGGCTTAGTCCCTTATTTATGAGGAGCCACCACATCGGAATGAACTGCGGATGCCCTTCCACCCATAACCCAGTAATGGGAACACCCACACATTCTCACATTCATACACACTCATACACTACGGCCAA